GAAGCAAAGTTTTGCTAACTTTACGCTACGTTTAAGGCCTCCGTATGATAGGCGCGAGTGTAGCGAAAGGTCAGGGGTTAGGTCATGAATGGGTTGCCATATGTGTACTAATGTCTAATGTGTGTCCGATTGTGTGATTGTTAGCACCGGGAGTGTACACGTGCCAGACGTGCAACGCGTTGTTCACATGCCTGGACTACTACCAACAGCACCGCCGTAACCACGCCGAGTGCAATGGCATCAAACTGTTGACATGCAGTCACTGTCCCTACTCTAGTGATAACTCATTTCATTACAACTGGCACATCATGTCGCACACCGGCAAACCCCCGCACAGGTGTCAGGTGTGCTCCAAACCGCAGCTCCAGACCGTGTCCACCTCTCCCATCAAACACGAGCCCATCGGCCCCATGATGGACAGCATCTCCGACGACGAGCCCTCCGCCTGCGTTATGACCGGAAAACGGTATGCCCTCTAAGGCCTCATTAGCGCCTCATTTATAGCACTTTATACGCTAACTATTACCGCAATTACCGTTCATTTCTTACGGCTCTCCACCCATGCATTCAAATGTGTCTTCCGATTGAGTTATCAATGAATTGATTACAGAATGAGATAACGTTTTGTTGTTAATAAAAATGTATTACTTTTTGGTGTGTTTGGACTCAAAGACTCAAATAGCGATTAAGCGATTGCTTCAACAGAGGAAAGGATGGCTATAATGTGTTGAAAGAGTGCGAAGTGTTGCTCAATGAGGATCAGTGTTGTAATCTCTTCGCGTTAGTCAAGAATTATTTGGAATCTGTGGCCAATTTAGGCACCGATTCCGACACTAACTCCTTCTCAAATCAGACATCAAGTCCCAAAGGATAGTTATAAGTGGGCTACGGACTATAGTATGTTGAGCTCATATCAAACGCTGCTAAACTCGGGTATCAACTGCCTGCATAGTGAACAAACTCACTAGAAAGTGTTTGATTTGAGTTATAATTTAGAAATGCATTTATTTAATCCATAACCCATTTGTGATATTTACCCGTTCAGTCATTTATACAGTTATATGCCATTAGTTATTCACTGGTCGTAAATACTGTATTTGTGTATTAAGTACTGTATTTACCGTACATTTATTAACACATTTTGCATTTGTCTGTTATGCTGTTAATTAATAAATTTTATTCATTTTCTAAAAATTGTTTTGTTTTTAAATCCTATATATTTGATTGAAATAAATAGTTTGAAATTGATGATTTTCGAATCAATTTATTATTTTAAATTAATTTTTCTAAATGAGTAAGTTAAAAAAATAAAGAATTCATTATGTTGTTTTGATAATAAATATCATTTGTTATTAAGTAACAGAGAGTCATATATAAAAATTATATTAAAAATTATAGGTTATTATATAAAAGTTAATTAAAAGTCGATCTCAATCTTGAGGAACATATTTTTGTAATAACTCTTGAAAAATATATGATTTTTAATATCTTTTTATATTTATAATCTTATGTCTAAATATAAATGCAGTCATTGTTGGGACAAAAGTTAGGTTTTGATACTTTTTAACAGAATATATAAAATTATTTTGAAATTACATCAGGTTTTGCGGTATTGATGTGTGAGAAGTAAACGTCATTCAAGTTGTTTGAAAATAAGTTTTGTTTGCATTTTAAGAAAATACTTAAATATTGGTATAAATGCAGTCAATTGTATAACTATTAATTTACAGTTCATTTTTGTTTGTCCTAATCTTATATAATATTAAATAGTTTTCAAAAAACTTCTGTAAATTAAAGACAATTTGAAAATAAAATAAAAACTATATGTGTTTAACAGTTATTAATAGTAAAGTAATAAAATGACAAACAAAAGCATAAGTTTGATAAACTGGGAAAAATTAAAATAAATCAAATTTTATTGAAAAGTTGAAACTAAAATCTGTTTATATCTCAAATATATACTGACAATTTGGTTTTTACACAAATAAATAATCGTAAAAAATCTGATTCAAGTTTTACACAAAACTATTTAATAGTATATTATTTATATTTATTTCTTATAATATAATAAATTCTTTAATTTATATTTATATATGATTTGTGGCACTATTTTGTCTGAAAATAATATGTCTTGAATGAGAATAACAACAAATGTGTTACCGATTGATAGATCAATACAATGATAACTCAAGGGATCAATAGACCTCTTAAGACGTGTTGACGTATCACTTGTTCCGATGACTTGTGGCCAAATGCTTCTGTAAAAGGGCGGGCATTAGAAAGCCTTTACCACACGTCGGACAGTAATGGGGATATTCTTTCGTATGAATTGCTATTATATGATTGCGTAGGGATGAGCTCTGATTGAATTTACTGCCGCATCGGTTACAGTGATAGGGCTTTTCGCCCGTATGGGTCAGGATATGCCTTTGCAAATGGCTTTTCGTCTTAAAACTCTTTCCTGTTTATCGCAAAACACCAATAGTTTAGTCCAAATATAATTGCAATTAAATCAGATATCAATAGAGTAGAGACTGATTAGATTTAATCAATTGGAAAGTATGTTAAAACATATTTTTGTTAGTTTTAGCATTCATTAACTATTATCTTGAATATAATTTTAAATCAATTCAAACAGATTCATAATGCGATAAGTGGTTAGCGTTTCTATAAATACGATATATGAGATTAAATCTAAGATTTGCTGTCAATTAATAATATTGAGGACTAAAAGCAAAGCTCTACTCAATTGATACAAAAAATTGAAAAAAACGTGTAAAGAAGTAAACAAATTGTTAATACCATTACCACAATGAGAACAATGAAACTTTCGGCGTATGCCCTCAACACCAGTACCGGAGCCGTCGATGCCATCGAAGAAGGCGTTCACTCGCGACTTGCGATTGCCTTTCCCTCTGCCTCTGGGCTTCGTATTGCCATCACTTCCGGTCTGTTCACTAGTTTTCACTCTTTTATTACTATTACTATTATTATTATTATTATTGATAACATTGGGAACAATTGTCTCAAGACTCGCACTGACACTAAAATCTTCGTCTTCTTGTTCTTCTTCGTCGTCGTCTTCATCACTCTCTTCCTCTTCGTCCTCCTCGTCGTCGTCGTCAGCCTCCGAGTCGTTGTCTCCGTTCCTCTCATTGTTCACCACTTCCTCCTCCTCTTCGTCCTCTTCCTCTTCGTCTTCGTCCTCCTCTTCCTCCTCATCGCCCGAAGAGTTGGTGTACTTATTGTCCATAAGGTCTGACGGATCGATGGTTTTTAAGTTATAGAAATTGTTTGTGTGATCACTGAGTGATGTCATAATGCCTTTGGAGGACATACGACAGGAGCTCTGTTGGGTTGACTGCATGTTCGACAATAACAGGTCATCGGTGGTGGCCGTCGCCACAGACCTGACGCACACAAACATAAACACAACAAAAATCACTTTAAATATTATCACAAAATAAATAATAAGACAAAAACTGGTGATAAAAAGCAGTCAAAGACTCGAAAAGACAAAACAGAAAGAAAGAGATAAAAAGCAAACAAAAAATGAGTTAAAAAAGTTTATCAATAAATGAAAAGAAATACTCAAAAAACGTGAGTTTTCTCGCAAATCCTGTTATTCAAGCAATTAATCAATTAATATATCGATTAGTGTGAGAGGACTATACATCAATCAAACGCTTATCAAGTGTTACATCTGTTGAAGCAATCGCTTAATCGCTATTTGAGTCTTTGAGTCCAAACACACCAAAAAGTAATACATTTTTATTAACAACAAAACGTTATCTCATTCTGTAATCAATTCATTGATAACTCAATCGGAAGACACTTTTGAATGCATGGGTGGAGAGGCGTAAGAAATGAACGGTAATTGCGGTAATAGTTAGCGTATAAAGTGGTATAAATGAGGCGCTAATGAGGCCTTAGAGGGCATACCGTTTTCCGGTCATAACGCAGGCGGAGGGCTCGTCGTCGGAGATGCTGTCCATAATCGGGCCGATGGGCTCGTGTTTGATGGGAGAGGTGGACACAGTCTGGAGCTGCGGTTTGGAGCACACCTGACACCTGTGCGGGGGTTTGCCGGTGTGCGACATGATGTGCCAGTTGTAATGAAATGAGTTATCACTAGAGTAGGGACAGTGACTGCATGTCAGCAGTTTGATGCCATTGCACTCGGCGTGGTTACGGCGGTGCTGTTGGTAGTAGTCCAGGCATGTGAACAACGCGTTGCACGTCTGGCACGTGTACACTCCCGGTGCTGCACGAGGACATTAGGACACACATTAGACATTAGTACACATATGGCAACCCATTCATGACCTAACCCCTGACCTTTCGCTACACTCGCGCCTATCATACGGAGGCCTTAAACGTAGCGTAAAGTTAGCAAAACTTTGCTTCAGTATTACAGTTAGCCATAAGTAGGCCTCCCCTGCCCGCCCACCCCCACCATCAATAAGGTCTTAACTAAAAAGCACACAAAAAAGTATATTTACTTATTTTGGATGAATCCGCAGATATCATGATGTGGTGGATGTGAGACACTGTGGGATCCGTCGATGGGTTGAGACAACTCGTGGACACAATTGATGCGATTGGAGACACTGTGCGATGAGATAATCAATGGCCACACAATCTTCGGCTCAATGGGAGCACAGACTGTGCGTCCAGTGATGAGACATTGGCTCAAGAGTTGTGACAATTAGTGAATGAATGATAAATACTACAAATGTGTTGACAATGTGTGTGTTGTTTGGCTTTGACTGAAACACATGTATAACTGTTATAAAGCCATCACTTGTTTCAACACTACTCTCATTGGAGACACAATTAGACGGCGATTGAGTGGACACTCGGACTCAGAACCAGTCGTACGAGTGGTCGCATCCATACAGTTGTGTCAGAGGTGTACAACACTATCAACACTGCTATGAATGCTACCAAATATTGGACATCACTTTCAATAGCCGTTCATATATAGGACAAAGAGAAAGGAAAATCTCTCACAATATCATTATTATAGACGCGCATAGAGTACGCCCGCACTCCCCGACAGTGGGTTCCCAATACTGCAATGGCTCGCAATGGAGGGGCACTGAGGGGGCACTGCGTGCGAGTGCACACCATTGATGAGCATAGCCTATAGGGTGCGGCTATAGGTTCGCACTTAAGCTTCGATTTATAGGTTCCCATAAAATACGTTTGACTCGCGTTTGAATTGCATTCTGAAAGCTCGAGTCAAACACAGCTAACGTTACGCTCTGATAGGCGTAAGGGAGCGCACGGTTTGGCCCGCAATGCCATGCATTGTGTGGAGCCGTGCGTTGAGTGGGGCTCTCGCTGTGCGCTGACAACACATTTGCGAACAAACAGGGTTTTAGTGAACGTCCAGAACTGTGTAGTCGAGCGATAGGTTCAGCTCGAAGTGTTTGTCGTTTGTAAATAGAGTTGAATCCGTGAAACAAACTGACAGTTAATGTGACGTCAGGTTTGTAAACATGACTCAAACGAAACACAATTTGAATGGACTTTTAAACGCGTTTTGCGAGTGTTTTGCCATTTGATCAGTGATTGCATGACTATTACATGCCATGCGGTCATAGGATATGATGTTTGCAAACGTCTATTCAAATTGGATTTATTGCATATTATTGTTATATAATCCGAGACAACGATCCGATGTCGTCGACCACGGAGTCAGTCATCGTAAGAGTGATGGCGTGGAGACCCTGTTGTGGAGCACCGGAACCGATGCCAAGAGTGGCGGACAATGCGATGACTCGTCGGCCACAAGAATCGACACATTTATCATGAATTGTGTGCAGAATTTGATGCGAAAACTCGATTCACTGGTCGTTGAGTCCAATGCTGTGGACATTGAGCTGAAGTCAGTGGTGGCCACAAGAGATGTGCATATATTGAGACAATATCTGCCACAGAAGTACGAGTCACTCAACTGTGAACAGCTCGAAGAGTTCGAGGAGACGGTCCACCACCTGATCGATAGTCTCGTTCCCGTCACCAGTGATTACAATCACAAGTCATTCGCGGAATATATCATTAATTTTGTGGTAAATGTCTTGCAATTAGTGTTTGTTTTGTCGGCACTCGTGT